GCCTTATTTCTGATACTTCTAGCGTTGAAGTGTACACTTTTCAACCATCCCTGTGTCCACAATTATGCTCCATCGACTGCATTTCTTTATTAACAACCTCACTCCTTGTTGTGTCTGTTGGAAGGCTGAATACCTCATCCTCTGAATTACAAATCCGGTTCCCCACCCCCTGCCAAGCTAGTTTAAACCATCCCGTATAGCTCAAGCAAACCTCCCTCCCAGGATATTTGTGCCCTACCGGTTCAGGTGCACCCTTACTGTACAGGTCCCACCTTCCTCCAGAATGTGCTCCAATTATCCACATAATGGAAGCCCTCCCTCCTACACCAGCCCTGTAGCCACGTGTTTAGCTGCACTCTCTCCCTAGTTCTTAACTCGTATTTCCTAACTTGTATTAAGCAAGCCTGAGATGCTGTTAAATCTTTAAGGTTTTAATTGATTAATATATAAATCCCTGAATTCCTTTCGGGTCAAGGTCCTGAGAGAACTAAAGGTTTTATCAGTGTAAAGAGGAAATGACATTTTAGGTCAGGCATTGCATGTTAAGGTGTGAGACCTTGTTTAGAATCTGTTTGTGTTTCACCTCTTGTGTGTAGAAGTGCCTCCGAACAACTCTCCTGGATGCTCTGGACCTAATGTTTAGATGTCTGCGTGCTTAATAAAGCCCTAGTGAACTCCTTGATGACTTTATCACCCTGTCCCACTACCTGAAGGGACTGGTGGAGATCCTATCAAACAAATCTTAGACCTTGATCTTCAGCAGGCAGTGACAAAGTAACCATCCTACCATTGCTCCCTCGGCAGCGTAGTGGTAAGGTCACAAAACCTTTGTGCTCAGCTAATGCCTTCGGGAGTATCAAATCCCACCCCGCCAGAGATGGTGAAAGTGGATTTCAATTTGTATGCACTGGAACTGAAAGCCACTCTTGTGGTGACGTTGTATAAAATTGTTTTAAAAAAAGAAACCCCGCTTTACCCTACCTGGCCTGGCCTCCATGTGACTCCAGGCCCAATGTGGTTGACTCTTGAGACTGTTCAGCCCATCAAATCTGCTTGCTGTTCAATGAGATGGTGGCTGGTCTGGTCATCCTCAACTCCTGCCTTTATCGCCTCCCCAACCCCCCTACTTTACCGATTAGAAATGGGTCCATCACAGCTTCGACGGCCCTTCGAAATGGCCTGACATTTCCACTGGAGTCACAGCAATCTGGGACATCACACATCCTCATCCCACCAACGACCTAAGGAGAGAGACAGGGATTTGCTCTTCCTTCGAATCGGCTCAAATTTGGGCATTTTCCAAACCCTCTTCAGTGTCTCCTCATTTGAGATGGTTTGTAGTTCATCTCTGCTGGAGTCCGTGACTTTCTGAGAGGATTTCCGCGGAATACTCCGTCAAATACCACGCGAAGAGAAGTCGGAGTCATTCCATGTTGAGAGACTGGGCAAGTGCACGGCCGAAGCAGTTTAACGTGGATCAGCGTGAGGTGATCCCACCAAAGGGACAAAAACAGGAAGGCGGATTATTATTGGACTGGCGATAGGTTGGGGAAGCGGGGGGAAGGGTTGGGAGAGATGCAACGAGACCTGGGGGTCCCTCATACACCAGTCGCTGAAGATCAGCATTGCAGATGCAGCAGGCGGTGAAGGCAAATGGTACATTGGCCTCCAGGGCCAGAGGATGAGAGGACAGGAGCGGGGGGGGAGGGGGGGGGGGGGATGGATTCGCTGTGACTGTACAGGGCGATGCCACACCTGGAGGATTGTGTGTGGTGGTTTTGGGGTGTCTCCGTACCTGAGGAAGGACGTTCTGGCAACGGAGGGAGTGCAGCGAGGGGTTTCCCAGAATGATCCCTGGGACGGGGCAGACTGACGTATGAGGAGAGACCGGATCGTTTCAAGCTGCGTTCACTGGGAGTTGAGACGAATGAGGAGGGAGGGAGTCACATAGAAACCTGTAAAATTCTCACGGGACTAGACACGGCGGGGGGAAATGCAGGAAGGATGTTCCCGATGACCGGGAGGAGGGAG